AGCTTCACCCGTTACACCACAGTGCCAGACCCGTGACTCTTTTTTTAAAAAGATTTATTGACTTATTTTATTTGAATGGCAGAGTGACCGAGAGAGAGGGAGAGACATACACAGAGTCTTCCAAAGGCTGATTCATTCCCCCAGATGGCTGTTAACGGCCACAGGGCTGGGCCAGGCCAAAGCCAGGAACCAGGAACTCCATCCTGGTCTCCTATGAGGGTGGTAGGGGCCTGAGTACCTGGGCCGGCATCCACTGCCTCCCAGGTGCATTAGGGTTGGAAGTGGAGCAGCTGGCACTCAAACCAGCCCTCTGGCATGGGATTCCAGCATCCCAAGTGGCGGCTTAACCCACTGTGCCTCAACTCTGGCCCCTCCATGAATTTTCTGAAGCTCCCTGGCGTGATGAAGGTAGGAACTGGGGTCAGCATGGCTGAGCCAGCAAGTGCAAGAAGCAGGTGAGGTCTGAGGCAGGCGCGGACAGGAGCCAGGTCACAGATGGAGTTCTGGAAGTTATTCTGAGACAAGCCACCACGAGGAGGGGAGCAAGGAAAGCCAGGCCCAGCCTGCAGTTTGCAAACATCCCTGTGTGACTTTGTGGAGGAGGCGAGATTGGAAACAGGGCGTCCAGCGGGGAGACAGAGAATAGACCCAATGAGCAGACTGGAGAGGCAGGTGGAACAGGGCTGTCTAGGAGGAGAATTCGTGGGACGAGGTGACTGATGCATAAAGCTGGCAAAGGAGAGGGAGACGTGGTCCCCAGGTCGTGGCAGAGCTGTGTGCAAGTGTGGAACCCTGACAGCGTGCGAGCGTAGTGGGGGACGTCCGCGCGGTTTTCCTGGGGGTGAGTTGAGGGGCCGGTTGTTATTCAGGTGGTGGAGGTTAGCAGGGTGAGGAAGGGCAGGGGATTCAGGTGTGCACGTGGTGGGCAGGAAAATGCCCAGCAAGAGCTACTTTTCAGGTGAAAGGTGGACAAGGAAAGAGCCTGCGGCTGGCAGAGGAAGAGCCGCTGGGGAAGACTACTGCCGAGGCTCCTGAGTGCCAGCTATGGGGGCCCGGGAGAGCCCAACCCAGGACGGCTGTTCACGTGCCCTCCGCCCCTCCATCTTCCCTCCAGTGTTTTCTGGGCACCCGCTTGGAGCTGGCCCAACTCCAGGTGTCGAGATACAGTGGGGAATAAGACAGTCATCTCTGCCCTTGCGGGGGTGTCAGACCCCAAACTAGCACACACACGTGTAAACAAGCTCCTGTCCCGCAGTGGTGACTGCTGGCAGAGACACCGGTGGTGTGACGGCGTAGGAAGAGGTGGATGGCCGGCCGGGAGCACAGTGGCAGGACGCTGGGAGCCGGGCATGCTTTCCCAGATGCATTAGCAGGGAGCTGGATCAGAAGGGAGGCAGCCAGGACTTGAACTGGTGCCCTTGTGGGATGAGTGCGTCACAGGTGGCCACTTAACCTGTTGCACCACAGTGCCCGCTCCTTTCCATGAACTTTTCAAAGATCTCTCATACTCAGAGTTGTGCAACCATGGTGATTTTAGAACACTTTTTATCACCTCCAAAATAAACACTGTACCCATTACTTCCTAGTTATTATTTCCAGAGCACTAAGCAACCTATAATCTATTTGCCTATTTGAATATCTCATATGGCTGGGATCACACAGGGTGACCTAATGCCTGTCCTTTTTCACAAAGCATGGTAACATCAGGCTTATTCATGTGGTAGCATTCCTTTTCACAACCAAATAATACTCCATTGTACAGGTACCCCACATCGGACTAATCTGTTCATCAGCCAATAGAAATTTGGTTGTGTTTCTTTTTTCTTTTTCTTTCTTTTTTTTTCTTTTTTCTTTTTCTTTTTCTTTCTTTCTTTCTTTTTTTTTTTTTTTTTTTTTTTTTTTGACAGGCAGAGTGGACAGTGAGAGAGAGAGAGAGAAAGGTCTTCCTTTTTCGTTGGTTCACACCCCCCACAATGGCCGCTGCAGCTGGCATGCTGCAGCCGGCGCACCGCACTGATCCGAAGCCAGGAGTCAGGTGCTTCTCCTGGTCTCCCATGCAGGTGTAGGGCCCAAAGACCTGGGCCATCCTCTGCTGCCTTCCCGGGCCACAGCAGAGAGCTGGCCTGGAAGAGGGGCAACCGGGACAGAATCTAGTGTCCCAACCAGGACTAGAACCTGGTGTGCTGGCGCCATAGGCAGAGGATTAGCCTATTGAGCCATGGCGCCGGCCCTCTTTTCTTTTTTTTAAAGATTTATTTTATTTATTTGAAAGATAGAGTTACAGAGAGAAAGAGAGACAGAGAGAGGTCTTCCATCTGCTGGTTCACTCCCCAAATGGCTGCAATGGCTGGAGCTGCACCAATCCAAAGCCAGGAGCTTCTTCTAGGTCTCCCATGTGGGTGCAGGGGCCCAAGGACGTGGGCCATCTTCCACTGCTTTCCCAGGCCACAGCAGAGAGCTGGATTGGAAGAGGAGTAGCTGGGACTAGACCTGGCGCCCATATGGGATGCTGGCACTTCAGGCCAGGGCTTTAACCCACTGTGCCACAGCGCCAGCCCTGGTTGTGTTTCTTTTATAATGTTTTAGATTTGTTTATTTATTTGAAAAGCAGAGAGACAGAGAGAGGGAGAGACCGAGAGAGAAAGATAGAGAGAGAGATCGAGATCTTTGATTTTTTTAGTTTACTCTCCAGATGCCCCCAGTAACTGGGGCTGGGCCTACCTGAAGCCAGGAGCCTAGCACTTCCAGCCCAGTCTCCCACAGGAGTGGCAGGTTCCCAAGTACTTGAGCCATTACCTGTTGCCTCCCAGGGTACACATTAGCAAGAAGCTAGAATCAAAAGTGCAGCTGGGACTTGAACGCAGGCATTCGGATATGGGATGTGGATGAACGCCCGCCCCCTATCTTTAATTTTTGTGATTCAAATAACGTATGTGTCCATTCTCAGCATCATAGAGCCCAACAGTAGAGACACAGACGCAGTAAAATGTAAAAGCCGCCACACTTCTTCAAGCTTACTCTTTTCCCCAGAAATGACAATTTGCTCTGAATCCTGCCGCTTACTTCCCTCACTTCCTGTTACTCTCTGGACTTCCATAGGGCACAGCCCCTCCCCTGCCTGGGCCATCTTTGTATGTATCTTCTGGGGAAGGCGGGTCCCCAGTGTTCATGAATTCAGTGGCTCCCTGGGGAGTGTGGGGGCCTTTCCTTATCTCTGAATGCCCTTGTTCAGGTGTGGATGGCACGGTGAGTGGCTGGGAGGAAGCCAAAATCAACAGCTCCAACCCCCTGCGCTATGACCGCCAGATCGGGAAATTTATAGTCACCCGGGCAGGGCTGTACTACCTGTACTGTCAGGTAAGCCCACCTGATTTGTGGGGGTGGGCCGCATCTGGGGGTCCGGGCTGGATGGGAAGCCAGACTGGCTAAGGAATTTGAAATTCCTGGACTCTCCCGCCCCGGTGCCCCCGCAGGTGCACTTTGACGAGGGGAAGGCCGTCTACCTGAAGCTGGACTTGTTGGTGGACGAGGTGCTGGCCCTGCGCTGCCTGGAGGAGTTCTCGGCCACTGCAGCCAGTTCCCTCGGGCCCCAGCTGCGTCTCTGCCAGGTGTCTGGGCTGTTGCCCCTGCGGCCAGGGTCCTCCTTGCGGATCCGCACCCTCCCCTGGGCCCATCTCAAGGCGGCGCCCTTCCTCACCTACTTTGGACTCTTCCAAGTTCACTGAGGCCCCCCCCCCATCTCTTCTGCCTGCCCCGCCCCCACCGCTGCTCCTCCCTCCTCCAGAACTGTCCCTCCTCCCGCAGGCTGCCAGGGCCTGTTCACGTGGTCTCCATCCCACATAAACACTTACCATGCCCCCCTCCTGGTCTCTGCCTCACCAGCTCTCAAGCCCTAATCTTTCCATGCCCCCATTTACCCCCCTCCCCCCAATCCCTGCTTCTCCCCCCATCGCCCCAGCCCCAACCAGGACACTGTTTTCTGACTGTGGGCAAGGATGGGTCCCGAAGACCCCCATCTTCAGGCACGAAGACGGGGCTGGACCTGGTGGCAGGAAGCCAGAGAGCCTGGGACTAGGCCAGGAGCTCTGAAATGTGAGGGGTTAGGGCCCAAGACAAGCTCTTCCCTTGAAAACTCCCTGTGGATTTTTAAAACAGATATTATTTTTATTATTATTGTGATAAAGTGTTGATAAATAGATACTACAGAGAATGAGTCATGGTGGTCTCTCTTCATTGGGACTCAGGGGGCGTGCTCCGGGCAGCTGAGGGCCATGGGAAGGGGGTCTGGGCATTGGGAGTGGGATGCAGGGGAGCTGCAATGCCGGGTGCGACTGTGGCGCTGGAGGGGGGACCCACGTGCACCCCAGGCGGGAGGAAGAATGGGGAGGCACACTGCCCAGCAGAAAATCAATCCTCTGCTCAAGGTACAGCCGGAGCAGCCTCATTTCCCTAGGAGGCGGGCTTCCTCCTGCGGGGGAATCCCTGGCTGGGAGGAGCGGGGCCCTTCCTCTTGGCAGCCTCGGGACGTGGAGCAGGTGCTGGCATAGGCCCTGACTGGCAGATGGGGTGGGAGCCGGCCTGGAGGGGGGCTCAGAGCCAGTAAGCAGGACGCCGGGGACCAGGCACGGTGGGGAACCTGGGCCCCTTGGGTCCCGGGGAGGAATCCCGCAGGGGCTGGGGGGCTTGGGGCTGCTGCTTTGTCTCTCCGTCCTGAGCCTTATGTAAGACTTTTTCTCGGGAAACAGGAAGTCCTGCTTGCCAAGTTCAGCACAGGGAGTAGTGAGGCCTCATTCCAACACACCCGGCCTGGCTTTAACCCCAGCACTCGGCCAGCTTCTTGCTTCTGGTTCTCCTCTCCACCGACCCCCGCCCCTCTTTTCCTGCCCTCAGTCACCCCTGGAGCTTCCCCCGTAATCGTGCCCATGCCTGAGCCGGGGGGTCTTCCACCCTCACCCCCCGACCCTTGACACTGGCCAGCTTATCCCCCCATCCCTGCTCCTGGCACCATGCCCCAGAGCCAACCAACCTTCCCTCCCCCAACTCTGGGGCCGCCCCTGGGTTCCTGCGCTCTGGCCGCTCCTCCTGGGTGTCACTGGCAGCCCTGTTCTTCCTAGAGAGACTGGCACCAAATTCTCCTGAGGCTGGGGGCTTCTCAGGACGACACTTGCCCCGCAGCGGGGTGCCGGGAGCACCAACAGTACCCCTAGCTCGCTTTCCTCCTCCCTCCTTTTTATTCTCAAGTTCCTTTTTATTTCTTCCTTGCGTAACGCCCTTCTTCCCTTCTGCACCACTGCCTGCACCCCCACCCTCCCGCCAACTCTGTCACCCCACTCCTGAGGCCATAGCTGTTGGCAGGGTCCCGGGCTCATGCCAGCCTCATCTTCTTTCTTGCTAGCCCCCAAAGGGCCGCAGGGCGACATGGGGGGCCCGGTCCGAGAGCCGGCACTCTCAGTCGCTCTCTGGTTGAGTTGGGGGGCGGCCCTGGGGGCTGTGGCTTGTGCCATGGCTCTGCTGGTCCAACAAACAGAGCTGCAAAGCCTGAGGAAAGAGGTGAGCCGGCTGCAGAGGAGTGGCGGGCCCTCCCAGAAGGGGCACGAGTACCCCTGGCAGAGCTTCTGGGAGCAGGTGAGTGAGGGGAGAGGGTGCTGGGGGAGAAGGATGGGCGGCAGGAGGGTTTCTGGACCCCTCGGTTCCAGCCTCCTGGTGTGCAGACCTCCAAGTGGGTGCGAGAGAGGGTCCTGGGTTTGGGAGTCAGAGGGAGCGGCCATACCAGGAAAGGAAACTGTTAAAGATTAATGCCTCTCGTACCTAACAGAGCCTGGAAGCCAGCCAGCACCAAGACGCAGGGTGCCAGGAACGGTGCATGAGAGATTTGAGGCTTTCCCAGTGCCGGGGGTGGGACAGCGGTCTGGGACCCTTGCTTTCTAGTCTAACCCTGCCCCTCTTTCCATGAGCAGAGCCCCGATGCCCTGGAAGCCTGGGTGAATGGGGAGAGACCCCGGAGAAGGAGAGCACTGCCCACCCAGAAACAGAAGAGTGAGGCCTCCGGGGTGCAGCAGGGTGGGAGGTGATCGAGCAGTGCCGGGACCGTCAGCTCGAGCCTGGAGCCTGGAGCCGGGGGAGGGTGGAGGGCGGGCAGCAGGGCAGCCGCAGCAGGTGGACGCTGCTGAGATTCCTCCGTCTCTCCTCCTCAGAGAAGCGCTCACTTCTTCACCTTGTTCCCATTAACATCACCTCCAAGGGTGAGCACCTCTTAAATCAGAGCTTTTGGGGAGGGGCAAGAACTGGGAACTCTGGGGCTGGCACCTGGGCCAAGAGAATCTTCGAGGTGAAAGGAGGAGGGCCAGTAAGAGCCTGAGAGCGCCCAGAAATCCTGACCACCACGCCGCTTATCTGCAGAGGACTCTGATGTCACAGAGGTGATGTGGCAGCCAGCTCTTCGGCGTGGCAGAGGCCTGGAGGCCCAAGGATACGTTGTGCGAGTCTGGGACACTGGAGTTTATCTGCTGTACAGCCAGGTAACCCCAGACTTCCCCTGAGCCTCACACCGGGGGCCCGAAGGCTGGCTCTTTGCTGTTCTCCCAGAGCCTACAGGCCCGGATGCTGAGGGTTCCCCAGGCCTCTGCTCCAAACCTTGGAGACCCTTGCTCCTCCCCTGGCCCCGGTGTGAGGGCTCCTGAGGCCTCCCAGGACTTGCACCATGCCATCTGGTCTTCTTCAACTTCTCCCCTCCCTGCCAGGTCCTGTTTCATGATGTGACTTTCACCATGGGTCAGGTGGTCTCCCGGGAGGGTCAGGGAAGACAGGAGACTCTATTCCGATGTGTATGCAGTATGCCCTCTGACCCGGATCGGGCCTACAACAGCTGCTACAGTGCAGGTGGGAGCCACGTGGACAGCCGAGGGGGTGGGCGTGAGGACACGTCTCTGACCTGGGGGTGCAGGGAGACACACTTGGAAGCCCGGGTGTAGAGGCAGATGTGAGATGACGGGCGCAATACCCCGGACCCTACAGGGACCAGAGGAGGGGCTGGAGAGGGCTGGGGGACCGTCAGTGAGCATCGCATTTCTGTTTTCTCAGGTGTCTTCCATTTACACCAAGGAGATATTCTGAGTGTCGTAATTCCCCGGGCAAGGGCAAAATTCAGCCTCTCCCCACATGGCACCTTCCTGGGGTTTGTGAAACTGTGATTGTGTGTTATCGAACGTGGTTCTGAGCTTGGAAGACCAGCGTGGTACCTATCGGATACAGCCAGGAGCCGACTAGACAAAAGGACAGTGCATGGGCAAGGGGCTGAGACCGCTTCTGGGGTTTGACTCGAGTCTCTGTTCCTCCCTCTTCCCTCTCCACTCCCAGTGCCCCAGCCTTTGACGTAGTGGACATTAAAGAGCTAGAATGTCTTGCTTTTAGCCCCCACCCAAATTCTTGTGTGCGTCTGTGGTGGCGGGGGCCGTGCCAGGCATGGTGTAGACCTGCCACCTTCGGGTCCGCTGGAACGCATCCAGGACAGCACCACCATCTAGTGGCAGCTGGAGGGACTCGCTCTGCCTCCTGGCAGCAGGCCACGGAGCCGCCCTCCGCTCGGGGAAAACCCCGGTTCCCTCTGCCTCTTCACTCCACCAGACGCCGCCGGCTCACTTCCTTCTCTCCGTCTGCTGCGCGCGCTTCCACCGCCATCCTACGGGTCTCGCTATCACGCGCCCGTCTGCGGCGGGGGCCCGACAACGACGACGGGCTCTGTGCGGGACCCACGTTTTGCCTTTCACGCTCTCCATTCGCGTGGCGTGGCAGGCACTCACCCGAGGCCTCTCCGGGCTGGGACTGGCCCCCGGCAGCCTTGGCTAAATCGTACGCCCCCGCGCGGGTCCTGCCTCCCTCCTCTGAGCTCGCTCTTCGGCTCAAGCCCTGCCTAAAGTTGAATAAATTGAATGAATGAAGGGATGATACAGCCCCGGCTCCATTTCCTCGCCTCAGGCCTGTCCCTGCACCAGAATCTCCCTGCTCATCGGGCTCTCGGGCGCTCCATTGACGGGACAGCCAGGCGCAGGCCCGCCAGAGTGCAGAAGGCAGGCCTACGCCGCGGGGCGTGAGGTAGGACGGTGCACGCAAGCGCAAGTGGGCGAGAGGCCGGGCCGCCACGCGCCGCCAGGTCAGCGGGAGTGCGCAGGCGCAGTCCTACGTAGGGCTCGGGGGCGGGGAGGTCCGGTCGCTCTCGGGTAGGTGGGACTGGGCGCGTGGTGGCCGCGCCGGCGCCGTTCGCCGGGTGTGACGTACTAATCCTGCGCCGCCACAGCCGGTGGGCCTGGGGCTCGCGGGCGGGGAAGAAGGAGGAGGAGGGGGAGGTGGTGGCGGTGGTGGTGGAGGTGGAGGCTGAGGGAGAGCCGAGAGGCGGCCACGGCGGGGCGGCGCGGCGGCACGGCGCGCGCCCCAGAAGCGTTGGAATCCTGAAGTGAGGCGGCTGCGCCTGAGGACAGCAGGAGTGGCGGGGCCGCCGCCGTCGCTGGAGAGATGAGCCGGGAAGCCTGAGGCCAGAGACGCCCGCCCTCGGGCCCGTCCGCCCGGCTTCCCCGCTCCGGGTGAGGACGCCCCTTCCCCTCCCCCAGCCTTGCCGTGGCTCCTTCCACTCCTGGGTCTCGCTCCCACCGAACCGCGGCCAAGAAGCCCCCCGGAGGGACTTCTTAGGGCCCTGCTACACCGAGCTTGTAGGACCATACCCGTGGTGGGACGCAATTCTGGTCCCCGGGGATGAGGCGGGAGAGTGGGCTGGGCCGGCTCAGCTCGCTCGGCGCGGTTCTGGCCCAGCGCCTTGATTGGGCTGCCTCATCGTTCTTTTTTCGGTTTCGTTCAAAATCCCCCCCCCCCTTTTTTTTTATCAGACTCTGTGCCCTGAGCCGTAGCCCTGGCACCCTCGTTCCCACTGAGAGACCGCAGAGCGGGTCCACACCCCCCATTCAACAACTGTCTCGTGGTTTCCCTGAACTTGTGGTGTTTCAGGCACCTCAGTGTTATGTCAGGGTTCCTGTGCTGGATCATCTCCCTGAGCAAAGAAATGACCCTTAGTAGGCTCTCAACGGACAACCTCTGTTGGAACTGAAATCGAAAAGCAAAGCCTGAAAATACTGCGTTCGACCTGGGGATCTGCGAAATGCGATCCCTGAGGCCGACCGCTTGGCCATCTTCCTTTGGGAAAGATAATGGCACAGACCCGGAGAGGGTCTCTTGTAGACTGTGCTCATTGGGAAGATCTAAACTTTTGAGCTTTGTGATACCCTCTTCCCTTAGTTTATTTGCATCCGAATTCAGAGGAGACTGCCGAGGATCTGGTGGTTAGGATGTTCCGATTCTGATATTCAGACCTTTGTTTTTTACAGGGTGCTGGAAGATGAAAGAGACCACACAGGGGACCGGGTCTTGGGGGCCTGAGCCTCCGGGACCTGGCATAGCCCCAGCTTACTCAAGCCCCAGGCGGGAACGTCTTCGTTGGCCCCCACCCCCCAAGCCCCGACTCAAGTCAGGTGGAGGGTTTGGGCCAGATCCTGGGTCCGGGACCACAGTACCAGCAAGACGTCTCTCTGTCCCTCGACCCTCTTTTGATGCATCAGCTAGTGAAGAAGAGGAAGAGGAGGAGGAAGAGGAAGATGAAGATGAGGAGGAGGAAGTGGCAGCTTGGAGGCTGCCCCCCAGGTGGGGTCAACTAGGAGCTTCACAGCGGCCTCGCCCTTCCCGCCCCAGTCACCGAAAAACATGCTCACAGCGCCGCCGCCGAGCTATGAGAGCCTTCCGGATGCTGCTCTACTCAAAAAGCACCTCACTGACATTCCACTGGAAGCTCTGGGGGCGCCACCGGGGCCGGCGGCGGAGCCTCGCACACCCCAAGAACCATCTTTCACCCCAGGAAGGGGGTGCGACACCACAGGTGCCATCCCCTTGCTGTCGTTTTGACTCCCCCCGGGGGCCACCCCCACCCCGGCTGGGTCTGCTAAGTGCTCTCATGGCTGAGGATGGGGTGAGAGGGTCTCCACCAGTGCTCTCTGGGCCCCCCATGGAGGAAGATGGACTAAGATGGACTCCAAAGTCTCCTCTGGACCCTGACTCTGGTAAGGTGGGAAAGGGGTTAGGGGGAGTGGCTAAAAGTCTGGAGCACTAGGAGTCTCTTGGTTTGGTGAGAACTGGGCCTAGTAGGAAGGCAGAGGGAAAAGGCCAGAGTAGCTGCCAAATGTCTAGAAGACGGGCTGGGGAAACAGTCCGCAAGCAGGCGTCCCGTGTTCTCAAGCACAGATGAGAAGGGGAGACGTGGTTGAGAAAAATCCAGTGGTCTTGGTCTTTGCAGTGCCTCTGGCTATTGGGTTAGAGCCCCTGTGTGTCCCTTTCCAGATGGCACCACTTGCTGGGGGTGGGATGTGACCTCTCCCAGAGGTGGAGGCCGTCATCTCTGGGATCGTGTGTAACATTCTTGCCAGGGTATTTCTTTCCGAAACTCAGGAGCTAAACAATTTCAGGCTCTCTTCACTTTTATTAAATAGTCAAGTATTTTATAAGTTTTACTTATTTGATAGGCACAGTCTTGGGTGAGAGAAAGATCTTCCATCCATGAGTTCACTCCCTAAAATCCTGCCTGGGCCAGGCCAAAGCCAGGAGCCAGAACACCACTGGGGTCTCCCTTGTGGGTGGCAGGGATCCAGGTACGTGGGCCTCCATGTGGCGCCTCCCAGGCACACTAGCTAAATGGAATGCAGAGGCAGGACTGGATTGCAGGCAGGCACTCTCACATGGGATGTGGGCTTAACCCCAAGTGGTGCCTTAATCTGCTGCTCCATGACGGCCCCCTTTGCAGTATTTATCGACCTTTACCCCATGCTAGAGAGACCTGAAATTTACATCACTGCACCCTGGTCTTTTCTGTTTTCCTCCTGTCTGAGTGGGAACTCTTTCCTCTGTCCCATTGGAGTCTGTTGAACATCCTTATTTCAGGGGTCTCCGTTTCTTAGGTTTATGTAGGCAGATGCTGCTTCAGTTCCTTATGTAGTCTTAGTGTTTGTGTGTATTAGTTAATCCTCCCAGTGTCTCATCCCCATCCTATTTCCCCTGCCTTATAGGCCTCTTCTCATGTACTCTGCCCAATGGTTTTGGGGGGCCACCTGGGCCAGAAGGGGAGCGCAACCTAGCACCCCCTGATGCCAGCATCCTCATCAGCAATGTGTGCAGCATCGGGGACCATGTGGCCCAGGAGCTTTTTCAAGGCTCAGATTTGGGCACCTCAGAAGAGGCCGAGCAGCCTGGGGAGAAAGCTGGCCAGCACAGCCCGCTGCGGGAGGAGCATGTGACCTGCGTGCAGAGTAAGGAGGCCAAGGGGACCCAGGCTCCTTCCCTCAGCTGACTGCTAGATTGAGTCTGGAGTCCTCACCCATGCTTCTCTCCTCCTCCACTTAGGCATCTTGGATGAGTTCCTTCAAACTTACGGCAGCCTCATCCCCCTCAGCACTGATGAGGTAGTAGAGAAATTGGAGGACATCTTCCAGCAGGAGTTCTCTACGCCTTCCAGGTGAGGCTTGAAAGATGGCTGTCCTTTGAAGGGGGGTTGGGACCTGGGGGACGAAGAGAGAACGCTGCTGCCTTTTCTCTTAGGGATGCACTTGGGGAGAGGGAGGGGCCAGAGCTGAAGGGGAGGAAACTGTAGGCAAGGTGCGAAGTCCCTGTAAGCTGACTCCGAGGGTTGTCACCCGAGATCCTGACATATTAAATACACCCTCTACATATTTAGGTGCATCTTTCTGGGGAGTGGGCTGTTAGTAGGTCCTTAAAAGGAGCCACGACCGAAAAAAGGTAGGTGTAGATTCTTTTTCTAGGCAGTAGTAGTACTTCTGGGTGCCACAACTGTGTTATCTCTTACCGTGACTCCACCCTTGGCCTACTCAGGAAGGGCCTGGTGCTGCAGCTGATCCAGTCATACCAGCGGATGCCAGGCAATGCCATGGTAAGGGGCTTCCGAGTAGCCTATAAGCGGCATGTGCTGACCATGGACGACTTGGGGACTTTGTATGGACAGAATTGGCTCAATGACCAGGTGAGAAGAGTGTGGAGAATCAGGCCTGAGAAGGGGTTCAGGGAGCAGTATCTGGGCCCTCAGCATGGGGGAGCCCTGAACTCATACTCATACCATGTCCTCCATGGTAAGTTGCATCCCATCTTCTCCCCAGGTGATGAATATGTATGGAGACCTGGTCATGGACACGGTCCCTGAAAAGGTAGGCCCAACTAGATACTTGAGGCTCCTGAAAAATTGAAGTTCTAAATAGCTTTCCCAGTCCCTTTCATCTGTTCCATTTTATATTAAAAGTGATTCTGGGAGAGGTAGCAGATGATAATCTGTAGTCTTGACCCCACATTTATCAATTCTTTTACTTTCTGGCAGTCTAATATTTTTCTCTATGGCTAACTACAAGAATTGGGATGGGAACCTATCTGTAAGACAAGGTTACTAACAATTTGTATTTTACTTTCTGAATTAAGTGGGGATTGTTGAAACCAGTCCTTAGAGCCATATGGAATGGAAGTAGCCTGGGAGCAGAGGCTTTGTGGGAGAATGTGAGGTGTTTTAATTCCATCCAGCTCTTTTGCATCATTGGCACAGGTGCATTTCTTCAACAGTTTCTTCTATGATAAACTCCGCACCAAGGGTTATGATGGGGTGAAAAGGTGGACCAAAAACGTGAGTGACAAATCCACACTGATGTGTGGCACATCACCCCTAAAGAGTTCTGTTTTCTGCAAGCCCTTTCCCTACCCTTGTTCCTTCATCTGTTTCCAGATATTAACTATCTCTTCTGTGCTCTACACTGTTGTACGTACCAAGGGTACAGTGTTAAGGAAAACTTTGTGCCCTTGTGGAGTAAGACTAAACAAGTTGTATTTCTGCTAATGACAAGTGCAGTGAATAGATT